GTTCTGTCCTTTGCCCTTCCCTCTCGTGGTCTCCTCTCTCCCACCCCAAAATTCAACACATGCTCTGCAACTGTCTGAGTATTGATCATAGCTGGAGGATGGGTGGGTGGGGGGTACGTCCTCTTAGATGGAATTGGGTTTCGTTTAGAGGACCTATTGATCCCCTTTTAGTCTRTGTCAGTGTGAATAAAGACAGTGAATGTGGATTTGTCCCCAGCAGTGAAATATGTCTTTCTGGCAGAAGTGTGTGACGCTTAAAGAAAAGAGATGAACGAAAAAAAAGAGAGATGAACGGTGAAAGGAAAAAGGAAGACGGCTGTTGTTGTTGAGTAGGTCATAGTTACATGGAAAACAAAAATGAGAACACGAAGCAAACGCACAAAAAAAAGTCCCTTTCTTTTGTAAAAGCTCTGGTAWTTTGGGAAAATCCAGTAGGGCTTCTTGAAACCTATTTCTCTAAACGTCAATTTTGCAAGGATGCAGTTAAGTAAATGATTAAACGTTCAAATCCCATTCTGTTTGTGTTTTTGGTAGTTTTAATGCATTAATTCACATTATCTGATCAGTGAAAGAAATCACATTATTCTTCTCTAAACTGAACCTATACAATACATAAAACATACAGGTTTTTTTTTTTTTTGAGTTTTTGGAGAAAAAATGGCAATATTGTCTTGAAATTTGAATTGAAGTAGATGGTGGGAGGTGAATAAAGAAAACACCAATGTCATCCGTTATGTGGGTCATCAATAGTTTTAGAATTATTAGTCACTTTAGAATAATACAGAAGAAACAGAACTGAGGAAAGAAGAACTGTTTCTACAGAAAAAGGTTGTTCAAGCATCATGAACTGGATTAGCAAGTTTTGACTGATGACTCACAGCTGTCCCAAAAATCATGGCACTGTCAGCGCAGGTTTTCATGCCTCCACGGATTGTTTAAAGCAGATTTACGACACTGTGGAAACAATTACAGAGCCCTTCAGCTCCTTCAAATCAACATCAGCAATTAATTAWATATTATGAATGAAAGGATCTCATAAGTAATTAAAGGACTTTACTAGAAATAGTTTACATTTTGTTGCTCCAGTGTGTTCAGTGGAATCATACTTTATACTTCACAATTTTAATCTGTGGGCAAAAATATTTAATACGAGACGTAACTAAATGTAAAACACTCTCCAAGATCTAACAAGTGGTTTCCACCCGTCTATGCTTATCAGATCTAACAACAAGCAGAATAAGAATCTTGAATGCCACTTACAAAAGTCTTATGTAYACGAATTCCTAACAGCTCTACCAAAATACTGATGCTCCATTTAAATTTCTCACATGGTTTTCATCCAAACCAAAACATAAATCAAAATCGCTTTAAATGATCAAAGTTAAAATAAATAAATAAAATTCTAGAAATTAAAAACACATTTGTGCATTTGAATGTTTCTTTTTCTTTCCTTTGCCAATAATTAGCTCATAGTCACTTAGATKTATATGTTGTTGCTGTAAATAAGACTAAGAATATAGTTAAACTAAGARCACATTTTGTACAGTGATATGCTGTTTTTAATTGTATGTTAGCTACGGTCAGGCATCTTTATTTTAAAATAGGTTATTGTGGGCCAACCCCATYTTCTCTTAAATCAATAAATGCAATAACCTACACCAGGGGTGTCCAAAGTGTGGCCTGGGGGCTATTTGTGGCCCCTGAAATGATTTTGTGTGGCCCCTGACTTCAGTTCCAAGAATTATACAAATTTGTCTACACATTTGTGCCCCCTTGCACAGGTRTTTGATGTAGATCGAGACTTTCTACTTTTTATTAGGGCAAAATGATCACAGACAAAGTAAAATCTTCTTCCAATAACAAATACTGACAACAATACCAATTATTTGTCTTTAAATAACCAGACTCCTAGCTTTTCCACATCTATTTAGTGACTTCTACTGAAAAGCTGATTTTGCTGCACTCCAACCTGCTTTTAATTAATTTATCAAATTTGGATATTTTCAACAAAAAAGTGACCTAAATCCTGATTTTATTGATCAGAATTGACTAAATCTGACTACTTTATTTGTTTAATTAAAGTATTCAGTGCTTAGTTTATTATTGAGCAGGTAAAAGAAAAATATTTTTGGCCCTCAAGTCCTTATGATTTTATTATTTTGGCCCATGTGACAAAATGTTTGGACACCCCTGACCTACACCTAAAAGAGTAAACTGTATGCACGTGTTTTAATTTAATCAATTTAACATCTACTGAATTGAATCTGTGTCCAAATTTATGTTTTCTTTTTTAGTACTGCAATGATGAACAGCTAAAAGAAATAATGTCTCACTGAAAACCTGCTGTTCTGGATAGATGTGCTAATACTGTTAAAAATGGCTACTTTATCTCAGTATTTTATTCAAAGTATATCACAAAAAAGGGCCTAATTACATAATTTACCTGTTTTAAAGCCTAAACAACATAAGGTTAATGAATTTTACACGACCAGGATATTTTAAGTATTTTTACAGTTCTGCTTTGGTTCTTTTACTTAGTAAGAAATCTGAATCCATCTTCCTACACAAATGTTCTCAGATGGTGGCGCTTAATTAATATCTGAGCCATTTGTTAAAAACCAGAAAAGAGAAATGCAAAGAGGCATAATTATGTAACTAAAGTCACCACTGGCTTCATTTATCTGCAGTAGCGTTGCCAAATTTYGTGTGTGCATGTGGTTTATGATTAGCTAGCAGCTCCCCACAGAGAAACAGACTGTTCTCTCCTGAAAAAAAAAGGCCAAATAAATAAAGCTGCTTAAACTGATGTGTTTCAAAGTGTGTTTTTATGCATTCTATAATCACTGATGAAAGCAAAAAATGGTGCAGTCTTACAAGACAGAGATAGTAAAAGGTTGAGTTGTTTTTTTTTTGCTAAGAAAATTTCCATTTTTGAAACCAGTTTCATCACCAGCATGGAGCAACAAAATAGTCGGAGCACAAAATCATCACCTGGCCAGTTTTGGCAAAGGATTTCTGCCTTTCATACACACACGGACACAGACACATACAGAATTTTGACACTTTTGAAGGGCTCTTGTAATTACATTTTTAACAATTTGTGTTTTGATGGATCAAACCTGGGAAGCTGTGAGTCATTCAAGTCCACTTTTTAAAAACTACTTATRATATCTGCCACCTCTCTTTGTACCATCCTTCAGTTTCATTTCCTTGTCTGCTGCTTCTACTTCCCTTTTACACAGGAAGGAAGCCACCAGTTTATAAAAACCTATTCTGCTTAAACAGCTATAAAGAAAAAGACAGTAATTTTCATTTTTCATTCTAAGCTTAAAAGAGAAAAAAAAAAAAAACGACTCGCTGTAACCTGCGGCTCGGCGTAATTGTGCACTGCTACATACTTGAGTAGGTGGTCCTTGGTGCTGCGCGTCTTTGTGAGGAACCTCTCAGCCAGCTTCTCCAGGTTGCGGCTGTAGTCCATCTCGATTTCTGCCTTCTTTCTAAAAAAGTCCTGCAGGTCTTGAAGCAGCTGCACCCTCAGCTCACACTGCTGGTCCAGACACTTGAGCTGCTCCACCAGCTGGGCACGGATCTCTGCCAGGACAGAAGGAAGTGGGAGATGGAGTTGAAATTATGCCTTTAACAATCCAGGTGCTGTCAGCACAAAAACAACAAATCAGATTGTTTCCTGGATTTCTAACATCAAAGGCCTCTTTTCTTTATAATAACATGTAATTATCATGCAACATGGGAGGAAGATGCATAGATTGGTGTGAGAAATGCAGAGCTATTACTGAGATAAACATCACAACAAAGCGTAAAAGACACTGAAGTGTCAAATCTTTGACACTATGCACTGAAAACACCTTGAACCGAGAGGCAGACGAACTCGATTTCCCTTCCTACACCTCGTGTGTGTGCATCCTCATCGTGCTTTCAGACAAGTGTGTGTATGCGTGAGCGAGATCAGATATCATCTTTCACACAGACATCTCCAGAGGCAGCCATTTATCCTTGCTTATCACTTTTCATTTTCCTCCTGCCTCCTTTTTCCCTCCTCCTCCTCCTCCTCCTCCATGCTGGCCTCAAATTAATAGAGTGCACTCAGTAACCACATTCAATCCCTTGCAACAACTAAAAAAAAATTGCCATGGAGAGTGCTGACCACTGCAGCTAAGGATAAAAAATAAAAAACCAAAATGACCAACATTCATATAGATGTGCATAAGAATACACACAGAAAAGTGATAGGCTGAATATGGGCTGACAGCTGACAGATTAATGTTACGCTCCCACAGCTGTCTGACAGTGCTGAGTAGCATGCAGCCTTCCATAAGTTAACAACACACACACACACACACACACACACACACACACACACACACACACACA